TGTCCAAAACCCAGGGAGGTCTTAAAGAAAATTCTTATCCCATCTAACAAAAGCTGCTCATGCACAAAGAAGAAAACTGGGCATTAATAGGAACTTCCATAGGTTAAATTATAAAACAGTGTTAGGAGGGTTGGAACTCTCAATTAGAGAGTCTTTTCTCCTGACTCCCTAGAGAGTGTACTTCTCCAGGGAGATTTACTTTGCAATCTGCCACCAAAGGATATCTTTAAATTCCACACTATTTACTCTTTCCAGAGTACAGACATGCTGGGTTTCAAGATTGTTCAAAAGTATTGCCATTTCTGGGGAACTGATCTATGCCTATAAAGACTCTGTCTCACCAATTTACCACTGTCTGAAATGTCACAGTCTAAGTCTTTGACTAATTAAACAAAATCTCCAAAGAGGACAAAGTTAGAAAGAACTACAACTCATGTAAAAAAAGGAAATGCACATTAAGCCTTAAAACTTGGCACATAGACAGGTGAGGTGAAGCACCTGTTTATGTGTAAAATCCTGTCTTAACAAAGAGAAAGAAGCAGGTAACGAGATTGCTGAGGAGGTTGGAAACAATATTCTACATTTTCCCTCTTTCATGTTTCAAAGCTATGAAATTCACTTTTCTTCGGCTTAGCTTCTTTCACTTAGACCTTAGCAGATTCACTGAGTGTCAAACGTTGAGTCACAGACATAGGTAGTTACTTTGGACAAAAATATTTAATTTACAGAAGAAGGGGAGACTGACACATCAAAAAGGACATGTAGCTAAAGAATGGTTTCTTTGATCGTATCCTCAGTTGACCGAACCTGTTTTGTATAGAAGAATAAAACAAATCACCGCCAACAGAAAATAACCAATCCAACTGTTATCTGAACATCAGAATAGGCAAAGACATGGAAGACATTTCAAACTCTTGGAGATAGCTTCTAAGTTTCACACTAAATCTTGACAGGTAGCCAAATAAAAGAATTAGCAGACAAGGATACATGCACACACACACATGAACATATATATACACACACACATATATATATAAATCTTGAGGGGAACCATGTCTGGCAGGCATAAAAATAATAAATGCAACTTACTAAATTCAGGAAATCCTGTTCTGAGGCAGCAATTTACATAATCATAACAACACTCTTACAGGGCAGTAGAATTCTAATTTCCCCCTATATAACAGATGAAGAAACGAAGTTCCAGAGATATTAAATAATTTGCCCAATATCATATAACCAGAAAGTAACAAAGCCAGCCCTAGAACCTGTGGTTTGACTTCAAGCCTATAATCCTTTCCCCTCTATTCTGAAGGCTCTTCTTTCTACTACCACCCATGAACTTGGTGGGGCACAGAGATATGACTAAGAAAACGTCTTTCCAAAAGAAACACAATTGTCTTAAGACCACCCTCCCATGGAAGCTCATCAAATAATCAGAAAAGATAAATTATGGAAGAGAGAAGAGACTAAAGCTATCACCACATCAAGAGAGACTTTTCATTTTACTTCTGAGGGTAACTCTTCAGAGATTCTCCAGGAGATTTAACATTCATAGTAAGACAACCTTTGTTCACACTGAAGTCTCATTCCTCACCTTCCTGCCACCTCCCAGGAGCTCAGAGGAACTTTGTCTCAGACTATTGTAATTTGGACTCATTCATTTCACCTAAAAATCATTTACTTCCCCTCTAAAATTCCCTACAGCCCATTCCCCACCCTGCTTCCCTCTCCCCTATGAAGAGGGTACTCAAGCCTCAACCATCTCTCCCTTCTTTGTGTTTCCTATGTGCAGGACTCTTATGTATCCATGCACATTGATAAATCTGTATGCCTTTTTCTCCTATTAGTCTGTCTATCGTCAGTCATTTCAGCAAACCCTCAGAGGGCAGAAGGGAAGCTTTGCATCAGCCCCTGCAAACTGTTTCAACTGTTAAACCTAAAAAAAACTTGAGTTTCCCACAGAACTCTTCATTTTTCTGGGTATGCTAGTTTAGAAAAACTTCCTCACCATATCAACAAATGTTAACATATTGCTAGGAGACAGATGAATCCATAGAAGCTTCCCTCGGTCTGAAAGGATGGAGGGGAAAAAAGGGCAGTGAACCAGGTGTGATTTACTGGGTTCATTCATCAGATTTAGGCAAAATGGTGGCAAAACAGACCACAAAAGAATGCAACACAATATTTGGTGGCCATTCTCCCTGGTATTCATGTACTCTGGTTTCTAAAGGCACCTGATAAAATGGCATATAGAACAGCACTTGAGAGGTTCAACAAGTGAGATGCTGGGAGACCATCTTTTCAAACACAAACTATGCATTTGTGAGCAGCCTATCTTTCAGAAAACTTAAGTCCTTTGGGTCAACTGCTTGGGTCAAATCACAACTTGAAACAGTAAGAATTTCAAATGGAAAACTAAGCTATTTCCCTTACATGCCAGTTATCAACTGCTTGTCTTTCATATCAAAATTCACTCTGTTTGCCTGTAATGAGAAAATGTATCTGAGCTCTATAAATATTTTAATATTTCGGCTGACACAACATTAAATTTTCTCAGTAGAAGGTCCTAGAGATATGTAGGAGGAAAGGGTTTTGCTCCCTGGTTCCTGGTTCCTGGAGAAGCCCAGATAGCTTCTCCAAAAGATGGCTTCTCTAGTGACCGGCTTCCTTCATGGGCATAGCTTCATCAGAGCAAGATTTCTGCTTCAGTGCACAGCAAGCAACAGTACCCAGCAGCCAAGAGCTACTCCTGGTATTCCCTCAGGAAGATACGCAGCACAGGGTCTTTTCTAAGAAACCTCCCTGCGAACAGCTTTCCCTCGGCATCCTAGAGGGCAGAATTCTGACAAGTTCTGAGGGTGGATTTTCACTAAGTTCCACTGAAATGGCACCACTGCCATTCAGAAAGCCACACCATGCCCTCTCCAACAAGGTCAAGATCTTAGCCCAGGGTAGTGGTAGCAGTCTCTCACCTAAAACTACCACAAAAAATAAGAGGTAGGTTTGGTAGGCCTCTTTTGGATTTTAGAGGCAACATATACACTACATCTGAATGTGCCACCTTAACCGATTACAGAGTCACCTGGGAAGTTACCAATTTTGAGTAAGGAACACAATATATGAAGGTTCAACAGCAAATTAGGGATGGGCAGTGCAAGCTGCTCTACCACTTGGGACTTTTGATCCAGTAGATCTAACGCTTTGAATCGTCTGTGGGAAATAGACATGCTGTAAGGAGCCTTTTAGCCAGCATGCACTGCATTAGCTCTTGGCTATAAGAGATTGGTGCTGGAGAAGCAAGCTTTCCCCAATACTTCATAGGGCAAATTTCCAGCAAGTTCCAGAACAAAGAGTTTCAGCAAGTTCTGAACAGTAACACAGTGGCTTTTCTACCACAGCCTTTGGCTCAGCCCTAAAGAGAAAGGCTCCCTATCTGAGCCTCTACTCAGCCCTAAGGTAAGCATTTGCTCTTTGTATCTGCTATTCTTATGTTCTTGAGAGTGCACAGTTTTTCTCTCCTGATTAGACTCAGATTAATACACCTTAACAGTAAGTTGAGAGGCTGTGTTCAGTCTAAGAAACCCAATACAAGAACCTCATTTAAACAAACAGGAGCTCATTTTGTTTTGTTTTCAATGTTTAAAACTCAAAATTATATAGGAATAATTTAGACCAAGTTTAGGCATAGCACTAAGTTCTTGACAAACTTATTTATATATTCATTAACAGGGCTATTTCAGTCATGGTTTGGCAAACTGTACATTCCTTTTCCAAACATTCTGTAGTCTAAAACATAATTAATCAGCACATGGCCAGGAGTTCGAGGCCAATCTGAGCAACATAACAAGACTCTATCTTTAAAAAACTTTAACCAAAAAAAAAAAAAAAAATTAGCCGGGCATGGTGGCATGAGCCTGTAGTCTCAGCTAACTGGGAAACTGAGGCAAGAAGATCACTTGAGTCCAAGAGTTAGAGGTTACAGTGAGCTGTGATCACGCCACCACTGTACTCCAGCCTGGGCCACAGGGCAAGAACCTGTCTCTAAAAAAATAATAAAGAAGGAATAAAAATTGTCTCTAAAAAAAATGAAGAATAAAAAATAAAATCAGCCCCTAACTTATAATCACCATCTTTAGCATTATTTTTAGCAATTCCTGATCTCTCCTATTATTCAAGCTCTAAAAGGTCTGAAATATGGAGGCTAAAATCACAAATAATGTTATAAAAACGATTTTCATTATAAAAAGAGTAGCTCTTACATGTAAATACTGATAATCTCACACAGGTCAAGGTTATTGGCTTGACTCACCCCACATTCCCTAAGGGACTGTTAAGCCAACTCTTAACCACAAGGAAATCCAAACAAGCTTGCAACAGTAGGTCAGTGCAAGCTAAACAATGTATCTTGGCAAACAGCTTAAGTGCAAGGAACACATAGGAACATCTTTAAACAGTGTCTGAATGTCTGTTGTTCCCATTAAGTAGAAATACACTAAGGGGTTCACAATTCTTTTAACAGTTCAACAAAAACTTAAGCCTATCAAATTACAATAATCGACTTAGAAAACAACCAAACCAACAAACAAAAAATCCCACTGATGCTACTCAAGAGGGGAAGACACCAAGTTTTCACATAAGTAGAAAATAACCATCAATGCTTCACCCAAAAGGGGTGGAGACAGTAGCAGATTAAGCATCGAAAAGCAAATCAGTGTTTTGTGGGGGGGGTTTAAGTAAACTTTAGAATTAAACTCTAATTTCTTAAACAACGAAAATGAAAACTAAATATCACTGACAGTTAATTTTTAATGACTCCAGAATGAAATGTGTGAAATTTGTTAGTAGCCATCTTTATGAACGGTTAAGTCTGAAAAGATGCCAAAGACAAACTAGAAATTACAAGTAATGTTTTATGTTACTGCTTAGGAGTCTCTTTAGAAAAACAAAAATTATGCTTTTACAAGGACATTTCTTATTTTTTAAAAAAAGGTTTATCTTACTTGAGAGAGTCCAGGGGACGATGCATGTCCCGGGGGCGTTGCCGCAAGATTTGGATGCCCCTTGTTTATTTCATGTGCTGAGTAAGGGGATGGGGTAGGGGTTCCCGGCTGTCTTGCTACTTGTGTTACCTGTGAGGAAATCAATATTTAGTAAGAACATTATATTAGTAAATCAATCTTAATAAATACAGCTGAACTATCTGATTTTTAATTGGATTTCCTGCCTCACAACTTACACTAAAATAAGCACCTGACTGAACAAACACTTAAATTTTTCAAAACTGAAAAAATAAAATTTCTTAAAAAATATATACATGAATATTCTCATCAATTTGATCAAAGATTCTTGAAGCATGATCTCAAAAGTAAAAATCTTAAAAGAAAACACATGCTACAGGAAAGAAACAATACTTGAAACTACAAACTGTATGATACCATTTCGTAAAAGGAACACAAAAGAAATAAATGGTTGAAAGAGGAAGGAGATGACTACAGAAGAGGAATAAGGAGAGTTTTGAGGGTGACAGAACTGTCTGTATCATGCTTATAGTGAGAACTGAATGTCTCCGTGCTTGTCAAGACTTATGGACATATACACTAAAAAGGGTGAATCTTACGAAATTACATCTCAATAAATCTAAACTCCAAAAATGGTAAGTTACTTATACGACATAATCTCATTTTTGTCTTTAAAAATGTATATCTGGCCAGGTGCTGTGGCTGATTCCTGTAATCCCAGCACTTTGGGAGGCCAACACAAGAAGGCTGCTTAAGAACAGAAGTTTCAGACCAGCCTGTGCAACACAGCAAGACTTCATCTCTATTTTTAAAAAATATTTTTTTTCATTAGCTAGGCATGGTGGCATCCACCTGTAGACATAGCTACTTGGGAAGCTGAGGCAAAAGGACTGCTTGGGCCCAGGAGTTCAAGGATTACAGTGAGCTATGATCACACCACTGTCCTATAACCTGGGTGACAGAGGAAGACCCTATCTCTTTAAATACAAAAAATTTAAAAAGGACATCTAAACATGTGTATACATACACGTGTGTAGGAATGTTTCTATACACATATTTGTTTATGTAGGTATATAATATACACATACACATCTAAAAACATGTATATATAATATTTTTAAAGATCTGTAAGGAAACACACCAAAATCATAACAGAAAGCATTACAGGTATTTCTTTATTTTCTCATTTACATTTTCTAATATAATACAATAATCATAAATTTATACAACTGAAAAAAATCAGCATGTTTTTATGTAACCAAAAACTTTATTTTCTCCATTTTTTGCAGGCAGTAAATTGCTCATCAGCCCATGACAGATATGAAACCACTTTACTCAGACCCCTAGTGGAAGTGTCTACCAATCAATCCTAGCCAGCTCTTCCCTCTCATAGTCTAATCCAGACTAACACTGATGGTTTTGCAAACTTTCATGAATTATGGACAGTTCTATACTCTGCGAAAATCAAAGAAGCCATTCTCCTTAAGCAATAGTTCTTAAATTTGAGAGGAACATGAACCCTTTGCCAATCTAGAATAAAATACAGACTTCTCAGAATCATACTATTAAATGCATAAAATATATAGGATTATGACAACAAGTGATCTATATTGAAATACAGGTATAAAAATATTAAAACAAATTCCTGACATAGTAATATACGTTCTTTATTGGTGCATTAAATATAATAACTAACAGCAATTGTTGTCTATAGTCATAATACAAAGAAATGTTAAAATTCATCATTAGACATATTCTCTACTTTCAGTTCATAGGTCTTCTGAATTTTATCATAAAGTTAAAAACTGTGCCCAGGGAAAAAGGAAAATGGCCTGGAATTCACTCAGTCAAAAGGTCTGAAGAAAATCTAGTCCCTGGTACTCTAATCTTCAAATCACTTACAACTCTCTAAACAGACAGAAACATCTTCAGGATCAGCTACCCGATCCCAATACTGAAATCAAATGGACTCACACAGAACTAACTAGAACTAAAAGCTTACGAGTTAAAAGACACATAAATGATGCTACAAATAATTGTAACTAGTTTCATCCCTGTTTTGTAAATAACTTTGATTATGATTTTCTTGGGAATCTTTTTTCTTGGGAAAATTTTGTTTCCAATTTTGAGTGACTATTACCTTTATAAGGGCATAAAGTTTACCATGAAATGTAACAGCATATATAAATCTCACCAAGGAAATTTTTCAAAGGAGAAAAGTTGGATTGCTATTTAAACATCTACTTTAGAAAATTAATAATCAGAAATGAAGAGTTCTTATAAGTAAATTTCTTACCAACAAAGCTTATGAATTTATATTATTTCCCATGTTTTAGAATTAATTATTTTGATATTTTGCTAAAGTAAAACCTCAATATGAATACACATTTTTAACAGGGGAAAAATTCTGTACAGTGAAATAAAGTAAAAATAAAAAGAGAGCAAAGAAGTTAACTATATAAAATCTTAGACCAGTTTTCAGATTTATTCTGATAAAAATTAAATATCAAATTTGCCCATGACAATAAATCATAGTAAAGTTTTTAAATACTATTGATAAAAAATATTAAAATACATTATATGTTTATCAACTAAACTAACAAAAGTAAGTTAAAAAAAAATCTTTGCCCCATTATTGGCAGGGATCTAAGGAAGCAGGACACAGATAAGATACTGTGAATCGGTTACTATCTTCCCAGGATTATAGAACAATGTGTCACCAAGTAAATGCTTCAAAACCATCACTCCAAAATTATTTCACTTTAGAGTACATACCCTAAAGAAAATCTCACCTCAAAAATTAGGAACTTAAAGATATATCCAGCAGCATTTCACATGATGGCAAAAACAGGTAGAAATACCAACTAATGGGAAAATGAAGTAATATAACTGAACTAAATACATACAAAATATAAACCCGTACACTGCAGAGTTGTAAAGAAAAATACATCTGCAGAGTTGTAAAGATTGTAAGCTATGTTTCCTACAGAACTGTAAAGAGGTACTGACATATACTAAAGAATACTGAAAGAACAAATTAAATCATTACAAATAAAATTAGTATCCACTGATTTGTCAGAAAACTATTATATTGCCCCATAAAACACAAATGTTTGAGAGAAGGAGAAAAAGCATTGTGCCAAAGCCAAAAGTGGTATGCTCTTGCTACATAAAAAGCTTCCTTAAAGGAAACACCGATGAAAAACAACTTTCATGGGTATATGCCTATGGTATGCATCCTTTGCAACTCTAAATAGTTCTGCCTAACTAGTAATCCTTTGGTATCAGATATTCTAAAAGGGCACTTCCTCCTAAATTGGGGGATGTCTACTAATAAAAGCAGGTCAAAGAAAATAAGTCTGTATCAAAATAATAGAAGAACTAGAATTTCTAATAAATTCTTTCTAGAAACAGGCTGTTACATATAATAAAAATCTCTCAGCTTCACTGTGCTGTATTCAATTCAAATAAGATCCTCTATTACATATGTCACACTGCATTAGGCATTCCATATTTGCTTTTAGTGTGTTTGTTACAGGGCTTAATGTCTCTGCCAGGGAAAAAAGGTATACCATCTTTAACTAGAAATTATACAGAACAGAAATAGTTAGCACAATCTTATCCCAAAGAAATGCCACAAAGAAAATAAAATTGCCATAGATAAAAATCAAATTTAGACTAAAATTTAAATACCTCTTGCAAAATATTCCTAAATTAATGATTAACGAATGTTATACTATCTAGCTAAGGGTGCTTCTCTCTTGCTAAACTGTTCAATTTCAGGTCATACTGTTGAAATCCATCTCCTTTAAAGGTAGTAGCAAGAAGTTATTATGCAAAGAAAACAACGTACATTTTCCCATTATTTGAAAGAAATTGCTACCTTCTCAACTATGAAGGCTGGGAGGGAGCAGAGGTGTAGAACAGCTGATAACAGCAACTACTTAACTACCTCCAAAGCTAAACAGATTGTTGTCTTTTCTATAATACTAATCCTAAGCAAAATACATCAACCATTTCTTGTAGTGCAATATATGTTTGTGTGTACTGTTTATTGTGTTTAAAAGAAAATATGACCAAGAAACGTTTTTGTTTCTTATAGATATTATATTTTTGCATTGGTAACAATGTGGGGCTTACAAAATTCTCATTCTCTTTCTGGTAGAAATGTAAACTGGTACAACCACTTGGGGAAGCAATTTGGCATTAGCTGGTAAGCTTGGAAACAGTCATGCCCTATGACCCAGCCATTCCACTCCCAGATACACTTCTGGGAAAAAACAATGAAAACGTGCCCCAGGGTACAAGAACAAAAATGTTTATAGTTGTATTGTTTTAATAACCCAAAACTGGAAACAACCCAACTGTTCATTAATAGAATTGATCAATAATGAAATTTTCATACACAGAAAATTTTCCTATACAGAAACAGAATAAAAAACTAGCATAATACAATTTAGATGACCCTCATAAATGGTACTGAGTAAAAGATTAAGAACAATATATAAAGTATGACTTCATTTATCCAAATACCCAAAACCAGCAAAACTGGACCATATTAGTCAATAGAGGTATATACATGTTTAGCAACACTATAAAGAGAAGCAGGAAAATGACTTTTAAAAGGCAGATAGTATTATTTCTGGGGAGAGAGGAAATTATGACACGTCATGTAATTTTTTTTAAAATTGGTTTGAAACATTTTTGTTGCTTTAAAATTATTTGTTAAACTCTACCTTTAAGTTTTATGTACTTTTATGAATGTGTATTTTAATCCTCTTCCATACCACCTACCTCAAAAACAAGATTAAAGACAAAAACAAGTGAACTACTAACACCTGTGATAAAATATCACTTACATTGGTATTACACTGTTACTCTGCATAGTAGAAAGAAAATTTAAAAAGAAATACTGCTGCAAGAAAGAAAAGCTCTAAAATTTTGACTCAGTGGAAACTTCAGGTAGCTAGTGATTTTTCATTCAAGATTTCCACCAAAAAATAATCTCCTATAAAATTAACGACATTTGGTGGTTGGTGACCAATATTAACTTCACAGAGTTTTACAAAAATTTAAAGTAGACCATAAAGATCGTGCAAGTTAAGATTAGT